ATCCTAGTTCCAGCTGCAAAAGGAGTCCTTATCCTATTCTAAATACTTCCCATCTGATTTTAGGAGTCCTAAGCCAATCCAAACAACCTAATCCTGCCCCTCATTGGTTTCTGCATGCCTTACCCTATATAAACATAATTCTACCGAAATTTCCAAGGGGGGGAGAGCTTAAGAGAGAAATTCAAAGAATAAACACATAGTGCCGCAACTTAAAAGGAAGGAGAGCTTGGAGCCATGCCTGCCATCCAAGGCCTTTGGATTGCTGGAACCTTTTTAGGTGTGTTCCATCTTTAGTTTTTAGTTCAATGTTTGTTTTAATTTGGTTTTCAGTTATGATGAACATGTGGAACTAATTTCGTGTTAGCTAGAGGAGAATTCAAAGCCATGAACATATATGTGATATAAATTGATTACATCCAGTTATGATTTCATGAATCGTGAATGCAATTTACTTATCTGTTTGATTGATAACTTGTTCTTGTGTGTTGATTAAGGGTGCACACTTAGTTTGCATGCAAGGATTTGATGCTAAAATATAAGGGAATTTCACCTAATAGTTATGAATTTATATTTACAAGTAGTGGAGGTTGCTAGTCACGATCATGTTAAGTAAATTCTTGGCAGGAGTATCATGCAGTTCATAGTTACGAATGCCTTGTCAATGCTTATGATTTTCATAGAACTTAATGATCTTTGATATGTATCTCTATTATGTAGTTCATGTAGGGAACTTGATAAGAATAATTTGGTTACGTCGCTGAGTCCAATTCAATGAATTTAGGAAAATCTAATGGTTAATTTGTGCAGTTCACGGTTAACTTGGGGCATTGTCATTCATGGTTTATGGGAGAAATAACTGGAAATCGATTTGTATGCATATGTGTCATGCGTAGAGAATGACCCTCTAGCTAGCTTTCCACCCCTTAAGTCACCTTAATTTCGTGCAACCCTTACTTAGTTCTGCAACTTATTAGTTTTAAGTCAATTTTCGTCCAAAACAAACCCCCCGCCAGTGTGCCGTGTTAGTTTAGTTAAAATTCATTCAAACCAGTCCCCATTTAGTATTTTGAGTCTTTTTAGTTTAATTTTTGTCCAAATCACCCTCTAGTTCTTGTTTTGAGTCAATTTAACTTAGTTTTGTGTTATTTGAGTCAGTTAAGCTTGGTTTGAGTTGTTTGAGTCTAGTTTTCAGTTTTTTAAGTTTAATTTGTGTTGATTAGCATCCCTAACTAATCTCTGGCCTAGATCGATCCCTACTTACGCGTACTACAGCTATCTTAATAGGGTTTAATTTGTGTGTTAGTTTTTACCACATCAAGCATCGGCCCACTAGTATGCGCAAAGAGATTCGCCACCAAATGTAGCGCATTTGTCATCCAAGGCGACAACGAGGGAATCTGCGTTTAGAGTACAGAAGCCTCGATCCACGAGTACACCGCAAAGAGATTCACCATCAAAGGCAGCGACTTCATCGTCCATGGCAGCAGCAAGGGAATTTGGAGATTTACAAAGGTCAGAATAGTAGGGGTTGCGTGCGGCAATGGATGGTGAGGGTTGGGTGTGCTAAAGAAGGTGGAGTGAAAGGGGTTGAGGAAGAGAAAAGGAAGGGAAAAGAAAAGCTTTTATTTTTTTATTTTTTTTATTTTATTTTAATTTTTTAATACTCACATGGGTCCATATTGACACGTGGCGCCTAGTCATTGTCCACGTGGGTGCCACGTCATCTGTTAACAGAGGTTCTGATGGAAAATTTAATGGATGTATGAAAGTGTCCCAGAATTATGACTTTAGATATCAGACTGGGACAAAAAAAACTTCATGTATGATATGTTGAAAACCAAGAAATTTCAGGGTAGTTTACTAAAATTAACCCATAAATCTATCGAGTCCAAAAGAAATAGCCCCTCATTGGGAGAGATTCTTTTATAAATCCCAAAAGATTATTCGGAGCTCTAAAATGGGCTATATCCACCACTTTTCTAGTCCCATATAAAACTCCTTGTGGAACAAAAAATAATCACAAGGTGACACGAGGATTTTTGGGTTAAAGGGACAAAATTCCCCTCAAGGCATACCGAGATACCTACGCGCGAGCAGTGGGCAATCAATCCTCAAACTAATTGCTCTTCAGTGCGAAAGGGTAAACTAATTGCTCTCCAGTGTGAGAAGGTAAGCCAATTCCCAACACCCATATGGGTTTGCTCTCCAGTAAGAGAGGATAAATTAATTGCTCTCCAGTGCGAGAGGAGAAACTAATAGCTCTCTAGTACGAGCAGGTAAACTAATTGCTCTCTAGTGCGAGAGGGTAAACTAATTGCTCTCCAGTGCGAGAGGGTAAACTAATTCCTCGACACCCTTCTGGGTAAGCTCTCCAGTGCGAGAAGGCCACATAGCTTAAAAGATCGAATGCTTGAAGATCAACTAGGTAGCAAATGTTCAGGGGGCAGCAGCCACTTTTGCACTTAACAGTTCGCTCATCCGACACTTCATCTTCAACAGCTCCGATCTTGGCAACTTTATCCTTGACTGCTCCATCTACGGCAGCTGAGAAATCAAACTCAAGCAATTTCCTCATTTTTGGCAAGTAGCCCAGACATGGTAGCCCAAACCGTTGCCTATGCCATGCCACTTCCAGGGCCCATGTCGAGCCAATCCTTGGCTTCAATCAAGACAAGCAGCACAACCAATAGCCCCTGCCACACCACCTCCTTGGCCCATGCCAAGCTAAATCCTGGGCCTTGCCAATTGACGTGCCGCAACACCCCAACGACTGCCCCGTGGCAGCATCTCCCAAGAAGAAGACAAGAAGAATTAAGTTATTCTTACATCGGTGCGGCGCGAAAAAGACAAAGAAATCAACGAAAGATGGTTCTTTGCACGGGCAAGCAAAGAAGAGTGCTAGGGGAGGGGGAACAAATATCCTCTAGCTTTCTCTCTTTCTTGTAGAGATAAATAATTGCCCTTCAAAGTCGATTTATTTCCCTTTCCTAGAAGAATATAATACCAAGTCCAAGAGAGAATCTGCATCAAAGTTAGAGATCTCTACACCTGCTGCCCTTTCATGCGAGTAGCCCAGCAGGTAGGCGACACTTGGATTTTTGGGTTAAGGGGACAAAATTACTCTCGAGGCATACCGGGATTCCTACGGATGAGCAATGGGCAATCAATCCTCAACCAAGTCAAAAGTACCCAAAATAGGTAACAATTCAAAATTTGTTTCATCCATCCTCATCAAATCTTCCCCACAAGGTAACTCCCAAATTATTTCTTTCAAATTATGTTAATTAGTCAATTAATGGATTTATTACCTAATTAATCTATTAATGCCTAATTAACTACAAATTACATCCAAAAAATACCCCAAATGGCCGGTCCCTATTCTCCTAATAGGGCCGGCCATATCCCTATAAATAGTTGTCCATTCTCTCCAAAAACTAATTTCAATTCTCTTGCTAAATTCTCAAAATTCTCCAAACACTTTTTCTCTCTAAATTCTAACTTTGGCATCGGAGGTTCTTCGGCCAAAGCCCCTCCAATTCATCATGGGCACGTGAGGCTCTTGGCCTTAACCTAAGGTGTTATTTGTTTTGTAGGTGCAATTTTGTCCAAGAATAAGGAGGAAAAAAGTTGCATCCACACTCCTCACTAGGGATGTTCTAAGGTTACTTACGACTGTTTGTTATTTTACAGATAGTCGAGTTTGTGCATTCCTTCCTTCCACGGATGTGTGTAAATTTGGTTCTAATAGTCTTTCACAAATTTAGTAGACTTTTACTGACTGTTATGAACTTCATAAATTATATAGACTTTTAATGGTATACTTATGTGGAAAAGAAAAGAGTTGAGACTTTTGTAGGATTCTAAAAGGTTCAATGCTAGAATTGTTTACAACTTTATGAATTGTCATGGATTTTTTTAATGACCACTTTATTAATTAGCATTTTTATTTTAAGTTTTCATTATTGAAACTAGCATATTTGAACACGTGAAAGGCTAATTTTATGGAATGAGGATCCTCTCCGGATACTTTTTGTGAGGATCTCGGGGATCCTCAAATCATGTCCGTTTATTGTACATGGTGCCGTCAGTTTTCGTCAGATACTATTCATGTTTAATTTTAAATAAAAATATTTAAAATGATTTCTGACCGCACTTTATACGATCAAATTATTTCTCTAATAGTGATCAACCTGGTGGATCTCAATGACCACATCATTTGAGTAATAATCCAAATGATGTGTCAATCAACACTTAAGTAATAATCAAATCATCAACAACCACATCATTTGGTTTACAAAATTTAGTTTAAAAATGTACTCCCTAGTATTTACCCTTCATGTAATATTTGATTCAATTCCCTCAAAATCTCAAGAGAAGATGTGAGATTTGATAATACTTAACATACACTACGAAATATCTCAAATTCCCTCAAATTCATCAAATTTATAAAATTCTTTAAAACAAATCCATAATTAAATACACTTAGAATGGTATATTTTTTAAAATCCTAAATGAATGCACCTAGATTTCTAAGGAGTTTAATAAACTATCTTAAAATTCTAGTTGAATGCAAGTTGAATTTTATAGAATCACTTAAAATCTTAATTGAATACCCCTATATTCATCAAAAAATTAAAATCCCTCAAAATTCCAATTGAACACACCCCCTAAAAATAAACGATATTAAGAAGTAATGCTCTGTTTTGGTATTATTTGTATAATACAAATTGTAACTGCATTCCTAAACAATAAAAAGGTTGCCATTTTTTGTATAAATCACTTGGCTATGGATTTGTTCCTCTCTGCTGTCGCAACAAATAGACACAAATGGCAACACATTATACCACATGCATGTATACTCATGTTCCTTATACTTTGGAAATTCCATGAATGCTCTTACGAGGGTCCATGCTTTAAAAAGTCTAAAGAGTCAAAGTTAAGCAGTTTTAGAGTGGTCTGGTATATCACTTTGGTCTCAAGTTTTTTGCAGGTGAAGAAGCATGGGTGAGGGTTACAAGGCGGTGGTGGCTATGATTGGAATGCAATGCGTGTATGCAGCGCTCGCTCTTTTTGTTAACTACATTAAAAAGATGAATAATTGGTACAGAGGAAGAGGAAAATGATAGAGAGCAACTAGAGATATTGTATTTAAAAAATTCAGAGAATGTATACAGTTGAACTTAATGAAAATAATAGCTATACAATTCCTTATATAGAATATATCCCAATTACAATAATACCCTTCTAACTATACTAACAAACTCCACTACTGAAATAGTGCTGTGAAATCCCGTTCCTGGATTTCACTGTTATAATCTACGTATTTGTACTATTGAAATTTTATATTATTTGTTGAGAATTTATTTTAAATTGTTTGGATTTAGATTCTAATTAAACTAGTTACGAAGAGTGAAGTTTAGAAAATAATTATTTAAAATTCATTGCCCTTTTGAGGTCACAAGTAACGTTTTTGAATAGGTCTCGAAGCCACGAGAGCATAGGCAAAAGCCGTTTGCGAGTCCGAGTTATAACGGTATAGTTACGGGCGTTTGAAGTTGTAATACTATAGATTTTAAAAATTATTTAGACTCCCACTTTGTGGGAAAGAGAACCAATCAGATTTTTAAAAGGTTAGGAGCTGCCCAATCAGAAGAAGGGGGAGGAGGGGAAAGGTGGGACCCGAAATAGGTTATTTTTGACCCGTGAACCACCATTTTTGACCCGACCATATCTCCTTCATACGAACTCTGTTTTGGGTGATCTTGGTGTCCATGGAAAGCCCTTGATGAGCCCTACATCCTGGTAGTGTTATATTTCCCAATTTCTTTCCCATTTTTCCAGTTTGAAGCCACAAACCCACTGGTGTTCCGGCGGCTTTATCCCTTTTCCTGGTGGCTCCGGCAAGTTTCACCATCCATGACCACCACCAAAAGACTTCCCTCAACCCCAGGAACAAAGCCCAAGCAGTGTTGGAGGCGTCGGAGTTCGATTGGAAGCCGAATCAAAGCACACCCTTTTCTAGGGTTTCGGCGGGTTTGAGGGAAATTGAGGTATTTCTCGGCCAAATTGAACTTGGCCACAGGTATAAAGTTTGCTCTAATCTTTGAGATATTCATTTCTATAATTTTTGGTAATTTTTAAAAATAGTTGAATTTTTCGGCAAGTTAGGGCGGTCGACCGCCACCCACGGCGGCGAGTGCGGCGGCGGCCTGGCCAGTGGGCCGACGATGCCCTTTTAAGTTCAATTAGATGCCCTGATTTCATAATTGATATCCTTATGATATGGTTTGATTGTTTGAACCTAATTTCATTATGATACGTGGTTAGGTCAAAATATGATTCGACGATCCGACCGTTGGATCATCACCAAACCTTAATTCGTGATAGAACATAATATTTTTGGATCATAGAAACTTACAGATCGATAATCCGACGTACGGATCTTCCCTAATTGGATTTCTAAGTTGGTAAAATTAAATGTCGACCGCCACTTGAATTTTGAAATTGGCGGAGATCCGACCGTCGGATCGTGTTGAGATTTTAGTATGTTGTTATTTGAGCATAATGTGGACTTTGGAAGATTACGGATCCGAAATCCAATGTGTGGATCTTCCGGATTGAATTGTGGACCCTACCTTTGACCGAGAGTTGACTTTTGGTCAACATGTCTCGAAACGTCCTAATTACTAAAATTAGTACTACAGGGGACTAAGTGAAGTCTAGTGGACCTACATTGGTTAGAGAGTGACTTGAATATATGTGATATGGTTATTACCTTAACTTCCTATGTTAGTATCCTTTGTGAAGATGAATTGGTTTTATAAATGTGATTTCTATTGAAATGTGATTTTTATATATTTAGCCAAAGGCCTATGATTATTAAACATGATTTGGCTTGGTACTGATGATGGTTGTGACATATGTGAGTTAAATTATCTTTTTAGTAATGTGATTCATGTGTATGATTATTTTTATGATAATGCGATCCTAGAATCCTATTAGAAGTGTATTGTAGCACTTATATGCTTGGGTGACATATTAGTGGTGACCTTGAGAAGTTGATGGTGTAGATGATTACATTGTAACTCATAGGGGTTGAGATGTGGATAAGTTGAGGTGTTGAATTTACTACACCATGTAGTACTTGTGCAAAGATGGTCTTACTTGGTATATCCGCGTTGGGGGACCATATGCATTCTAGAAGTGAGGAGGATTAGTTGTACTTGGTACATTTGACGGGGGAATCATATGCTTGTTTGGATTCCATTGAGTGATGTTCTGGAATCGTATCCTAGTTCGGATTCCGTTGAGTGATGGTCTGGAATTGTATCCAGCTTGTATCTCATCGAGTGGTTCAATTATATATGCATGGTACCTTGAGATTCCGTTAAGTGATGGTTCATAATCGTATCCTGGTCTGGATTTCGTTGAGTGGTCCGGAATCCCTTTGGTGTCTTGTCTTGGTCCCTTAGATTTGTTTTCAGCTTCAGAGATGTAGGATTCGGCTGAACTGTGTCGCTCTAGCCCTACTTTTCATGGTGTTGTACGAGATTATGATTATGAGCTATTGTGATTTGTTTCAGACGAACCATTGGATGTATGGGTGACTCATTCGGAGTTGTTAGAGTTCCTTGGTTAAATTTGTAAAATGATATGTTATTGTATTCATTGATTAAACAATTAAATGCTAAGATCACGTATCTTTGATTCATGATTAATTAATTGATGTGATTGTGGAATGATGTTGGGTATGATTGAGATTATTATGATTATAGTAATTGATTAATGTGACTTGAGAATAACATTGTGCTTCTTTGGTTCTTTGATATGTTACATACTATGATTTGCGGTATTATGTGAAACAGAGTGATTTATATGATGGAGGAATTGGAAAGTATCTGTGTGAGAATGGGTTACATGCGTGTATGAAAGATGATAATTGTTGTTTGACGTAAGGTTGATGTGTAATATGGTGCATTATGATTTTTTCTGTTAGAAGTATTTTACGGAAAGAGTAGAGTTGACGATTGGTGAACTACAAATGGCTTGATCCCTTTTGAGGGTACGTAGGCAGTCTAATGAGGAGGTTAGATGCAACCATAAAGTATAAGAAAAATTATCACGAAATTCGAATCTTGAGTTTTGCATTGTCCATATCCCGAAGGTGGGGTATGTGAGTGATATGGGTATTTGGTAACGTCATGTGTCTATCCTGGACGTATGTGGGGATCGGGGCGTGACAAGTGCCATGTGGTATTTCTGTTATTACTAAACATTTCTGTTATTACTCCCCCCTTAAACTGAAATTGGTGTGGCCAAGTGAAGTTTGAACTAGCTAGAACTTTGAAACTAGTTTGGAACTGCAAGACCAAGATGTCTGCAATGCTTCAAGAACACTGCAGAAAACCCCAAACAAATGAATACCACCGGGTGATAGGAGCATATTTATGCGCCTTAGTTAGCTAGTTCTTATGCATTTATGTTGTGTTTTCTTAGTTAAGTTAGTCTTTTAAGCTATTTTCATGTGTTTTCAGGTTTTAAGGACAAAGTAAGCAAAAAGATGCAATTTGGAGCATTTTGGAGCAAAATTGAGCTAGAATGGAGCTCATGCATGTGGAGCACAAAGAATGGACGAATTTGAAGGATTGAAGAAGCTAGGAATGTGTTTCAAAGTTGAAGAATTGAAGATGAAATCCTAGTCAACAATGGATTCCTAGTTGAAGAAGGATTCCTAGTTGAAGAATGATTCCTAAGTGAAGTTGGATTTCTAGAAGATTGAAGTTTCCTACTCAAACAAGGTTCCTACTTGAAGAAGGAAAGTTAAAGCCAAAGAATCAGCTCAAGTGAAGAAACCTTATCCAAAACATTATCCAAAACATTATCCACACCCTATCCTATCCTATCCTATCTTATCCTAATCCTAATCCACCTATATTTCAGCTGCAAGGGAGGATTCCTAACTATATTAGGATGCTTAAAATCAGATTTCTAGAAGACCTAATCCTTTCCTACAAAAGTGGCGCCTAGAACCTTTCTAGAAGACCTTTGCCTTGCATTGCAATTCAGCCACTTTCCCTCCAATTCTTGCAGTGAGTTTTCACCCAATTCCCTTGGGATTTTGGTTTCTAGAAGCCCTTATCCTTTCCTAGTTTAGTGCCGCACCTTATCCTCCCATTCCCTTTGGATTTCTGATTTGTTTTCCTTCAAGGATTGTGTGTTATTTTCCTATGCAAATTAGGCCTTAAAATCCTTTTCCTTTGCTACCTAGGGGCTGTGATTTTCAGACTATAAATACAACCCTTTGCCGCACCAATTGATCACCACTCTCTACCATATTTTCACTACACCATTCACCCAAACATCCCTCTTGTGCCGTGAGTTTGCAAAGGAGAAGGAAGGAGACTCTTGGAGCCGTGCATGCCATTCAAGGAGCTTGGATTGTTGGAGCGTTTCTAGGTGTTTTCTATCTTTATGTCAATGTTTAAAGCTAATTATCTTTGTTTATTTGCGAACATGAGGAACTAATTTCTTTATAGTTAGAGGGGAATTCAAAGCCATGATCATATGTTTTATATGACTTGATTTCCTCCAGTTATGATTTCATAAATCGTGAATGTGGTTTACTTATCTATTTGATTGATAACATTTTTATGTATGTTGATTGAGGGTCGACACTGAGTTTGCATGCATGAATTTGATGCTAGAGTATAAGAGAATTTCACCTAATCGTTATAAACTTATATTCATAAGTAGTAAAAGTCGCTAGTCACGATTGTGTTAAGTAAATCCTTGGCAAGAGTAACATGCGTATTCCATAGTTATGAATGCCTCGTCAATGCTTATGATTTCCATTGAACTTAATGATCTTTGATATGTGTCTCTATCATGCGTATTCCATAGTTAGGGTCCTTGATAAGAATAATTTGGTTGTAATGCGTATTCCATTCAATTCAATGAATCTAGGGAAATCTGAGAATTAATTGGTGCAATCTAGTTAATTTGGGGCATTGTCATTCATGGTTTGTCGAAATAGTAACTGGAAATCAAGTCGTATGCATATGTTTCATGTGTGGAGAAGGAACCCTCTAACTAGCCTTTCACCATTCTTTTTCATCCAAAATCGTTTTTGTTAAGTTTGTTTTTAAAGTTTATGTTTTAAAGTCCAATTTCGTCAAAATCAAACCTCTTGCTTTTAAGTCTTGTTTTTAGAGTCGAAACTTGTTTCCTTTAAGTCTTTTGAGTCTTTGAAGTTCTATTTTCGTCCAAATCACTTGTTAGGTCTAGAATTGAGTCTTTTTTATTGTTATTTGCTTTTTTGAGTGTTTTGAGTTAGTTTTGAGTCTATAGTCTAGTTTAGTATTTTTGAGTCTTATTTGTGTTGATTAGCATCCCTAGTTAATCCCCGGTCTAGAACGATCCCTACTTGCATCATTACTACAATTGTCATCAATAGGGTTTAATTTGTGTGCTTAACTTTTATCACATCACCGGGTGTTAATTACCGCCTCTCCCCTCGAAAACTGCGCCACAAGAAAGCTCGTTTTCTCTCCACACCCACCTTTTTCTTCTTCATCGATCACTCCTGCAACTTCTCTTGTATAATGCAAGAAACTATACTTCGATCCACCGATCTTCGAAGTCGAGTGATATAACAGTTGTTGGGAATAACAATCTTATCATGGGATCTTGTCATATTGCCCACGATTGCAAGATCGAAAACAACATCAATTTTGCAAATAATACATTGCTGGAAGGCCATGTTGTGGTAGAAGATTATGCTCACACTGCAGGGGCTATCGTCGTTCATCAATTTTTCCATGTTGGCTCTTTCTCATTTATTGGTGGTGGCTCTGTGATCGCACAGGATGTTCCAAAGTACATGATGGTTGCGGGAGAAAGAGCTGTGCTTCGTGGTTTAAACCTTGAAGGTCTATGCTGTAATGGATTCACAGCTACAGAGATCAGAAGCTTGAGAACAACTTACCAAAAGATATTCATGCCTGCTGATAAAAATTCCAGGGATTTGAAGAACATCTTTCTGCTCATATACCTGTAGTCCATTCCATAGTGCAGTCTATCCGTGACTCTTTTGAAGAAAAGCAACATAGAATATGTAAATTCAGACATTGACAGTCTCTCACAGTTACCTGAACCTCTGGTTTTGATCATCATCTCCCACTTGCCATTCGAAAAAAAAAAAAAAAAAAAAAAAAAAAAAAAAAAAAAAAGCCACAAGAAACTCCATTTTCTCCAATCCCTTATGTAATCCTAACTCTTCACCAAGAATTTCTGAGAGCTCAATTGATCAACCCATGAGGCTTGTTGAAATTTATGTTGTTGCTGAAAATGCTATGCACAATACAGTTTCTAATCCTAATATGTTGAAGTCTTTGTCATCTACAGACTTTACAGAGACTAGCACCAAATCAACTAAGGAGAATGACACTCCAAGAAACCAAATCAACCAAGGAGAATGACACTCCAAGAAACCAAATCAACCAAGGAGATTGACACTCCTGATAGCTTCCTATATCTTCCTAGATAATAACACCAAAATTAACCAAAGGAGAATGACACTCCAAGAAATCAAATCAACTAAGGAGAATGACACTCCTGATAGCTTCCTAAATCTTTCCAAATACTAACACCAAAATTAACCAAGGAGAATGACACTCAAAGAAATCAAATCAAACAAGGAGATTGACACTCCTGTGGCCCAGAAACAACAACAAATTTCATCACAAATCTTCAAGAATTACAAAAACAACTCCTTCTTAAATCACCAAACCCCCTTAGATCACAAACACTGATCTTGAAGCAATGACCAATCTAGAATCCAAATATCCCAAATATCACACTAATATCCTAGAAAAGACTCACAAGAAAGATGAACAAGTGGAGTGTAAATTCAATATACCACTCTTTGGCTATCGACCTTACTAATTGATAAAATAATGAACATTTTCTTACTGAAACATTTAATCAAAAAGATTATGTGCACTGTGTGAAGGATTATTTTGTGAAAACATGTTCATTTAAGCAACATCATATAGCATGCAATTAACAATTAAAGGCGGAATCATGCTTGCATGCACTTAAAACAAAACATTAACCATGAAATTCAAAGCCTAGTAGATTGGTGAACCATGAATCAACTCAAAACAAAGTGAGTTGAAATTTATACCTTTGTAGATTCCTCTTTGCATAAGCAAAGGCTAATCACCCAAAGAGAGGGCCTTCATTCCTTGCATATTAAATCTATGGATATGGATAGATGAATAGGTTTCTCCAAGTTCCCAAAATAGGGAACCTCTAAGTCTCTTCACCAAGGAGAGATTGGAGAAGAAATGAGTGACCTTGGAGTAGTGGGATTGCAAGATGCACCCCCCAAGGTGGCCGGCCTCTTTAGAGAGAAATGGAGAGACATGTTCTCTCCAATTTTCTCCAAAACAAACCCTAATGAATTTTAGGCTATAAAGTCATATTTATACCTTTATTCATTTGAGTGGCAAACTTGTAAATAAGTCCAAGTTCACTACCCTTAGCATCATGGCCGGCCCTAGGGTATTTTTGGGCTAATTAGGCCTTTGTGAATCATTATTCATTAAGTTGTCATACAACTTAAGTCAATGGGCTTGACGTTCGAAGCCCATTGGGCCTTAATGTCCAAAACTATCCCGAGGTCTTTAACGAACTTATTCGTTTGATTAATTAACATATTAATGAATCCTTGCCATAAATAAATGATTAAAACCATTTAATCATTCTTACTCATCTCCATTGTTTCTTCAATCTCCACCTTACACGGTGTGCGATCCATTAGGTTCCTTTTAGCGAGGCAGTGGGCGATTAAAACCATTTTATATCGATTGTGAATTGAAACTTACTTTCAATTCTCCCTTTAGTGATTACACACGTTTAGGGCTTCCACAAACCATGAGTGACACCTTGCAGCATATCATGGTTACCCAAGCTAATCAGAAGAGGTAGAGAAAACCTATTCAGTTTGGGATTACAAATGCAATACGGTCTTTCTCTAATACAATACTCTTGACCACATTGTTTGGTTTGATAGTTTATTTATTCATGTCTACTATCCAATGTGATTCGTGTGCTTATATGATTACCTTGGATGTGATTTAGAACAACTTTTCTAAATCTCATTCATACTCTGGCCAGAGATTCTAAATCATATCATAGAGTATTCTCCCTCAAACAGTTTGAAGGTTAGAGATCCCTTGTTGCGCATTCACTTGCCTCCATGGCTAAGTGGCTTAACCCCAACGATGCCATGGACACCCTCCTGATGGAGTGACTTTGACATAATCAAAGATCAAGGACTTAACCACAAGACAACTATGATGCCTCAGGTCAAATGACTACTTTGCATTATCCCAACCATGAGTTCTCATGTGACATGAGTATGAGAACTCTTCGTCGATCGCGTTCAGTGAACTCATTCTCTACTGAGCACCTACGTACTTGTCTTGATGTCACACACACCAATGACTCGAGACTAGTCACTCTCCCTGAGAGAAGACATAGCACGTACCGATCTTGACGGACTGTCAATGCCCAATTGGCAATCCTATGATCAGGAACATTTAGGATGTGTCTACGAAAGAATGGTCTCATGAATCTAACTTCATTAGATTACATTCTCCCAATCACATATTCCTTGGACTTTATCGTTTAAGCATATAACATTTATATGAGACGGCTCAAACAATAATCTTTGCCCTTTATATTAAACTAGATTAGTTTAACATGTGAAATGTCCGTAAAGCATCATCACATGATTGGTTTTAGGGCACATTTCCAACACTGTGAAAACCAGAAATCAAGACCTGATAAGAACTTCAATCTTGAGCCAAAGAACGCACAAGAGCTCCAAAACAAACCAACACCACCAAAAAATTCAGAAAGTGATTTGAGCAAACCACCAAGAAGAAAGAACCATATCGAAGATGCCTATGAAATCACAAGATTTCAGACCCAATCAACCAAATGTCCCTAGTACATAGTGACTAGATGTCATTCGTAATACCGCACCATATCTTTTGGCCGCAACCCTTGTGGATGGCATCAGCATGGAGAACCACATCGCAAACTTCAAGGCAAATATCTCTCATGTTTTCTTCTGCCAATGCACCTTCCTTTGGCCATTGATTTGAAATCAGAAGGGAGAAAGCTTTGATCTTATGATTCTGTCTAGCTACTGTTAGTCGGCGAGGACTGCTACGTAAGATCTGAACGCGCGTATGAGTACCTAGAAGATGAACGGCGGTGAAGAGCCTCAGTTCTTGGAGGTGGTGACGGCGTCGGTGGAGAAATCTCCAAACCAAAACAATCAACCCAACAATCGCAACAATTGGAGAAAAATCAACCCAAGCTCGCGGAAGCACCGATTAATGAAAATTTGAAGAGAAACTAAACTAGGAAAAAAAATGTAAACTACTACGAAGAGAGAAACCACCAGAATCCATGGCATGAGCCTGGTGGCTCTGATACCATGTTAATTACATTGTAAAAGATGAATAATTAGTACAGAGGAAGAGGAAAATGATAGAGAGCAACTAGAGAGATTGTAGTTATAGAATTCAGAGAATGTATACAATTGAACTTAATGAAAATAATAGTTATACAATCCCTTATATAGTCATATATCCTAATTACAATAATACCCTTCTAACTATACTAACAAACTCCACTACTGACATAGTGCCATGTGGCATTTCTGTTATTACTAAACATTCCTGTTATTACTTTTCACCAGAGCTGTTTTGGTACAAGGAACGAGCCCCAGGGTCTTCGTGGTCTACAGGAATGCTATAGCAACTTTGCTCCTGGCTCCTTTTGCTTGCTTATCCCAATGGTAATATTAATCTCTCTCTCCCACATAAGAATTTTGTGCAGGAGAAATCCATGTAGGACTTCGTTGGGACTAAAGGGATTTTCTTTAATATTTCTGTCCTCTCTAATAGGGTATAGCACTGTATATGCTTTATATAATATGTTTTAGTTGCTTGTTGTAGTTATATATTATAAAGAATTTGATGAACTGAAACACATTTTGTGTAATGATTTTTCATTTGCAGGGTAACTGCCAATCAGAATGCTTATTTTGAGGGCCTGTATTTATCCTCTTCAACAATAGCAAATGCAATGGCTAATCTGGTCCCTGCGATTACCTTTGTATTTGCCACAGTAGTAGGGTAAGTGCCTACACACATAGTTTGCTTTTTTTATTGAATTATTTCAATTTATGAAGAATTTCGGAAAGAAAAAAAAAGAAACTCTTCAAGCTCCTAAATTAGGAGAATGATTTACATGGAACGGATTCATTACCACATGATGTTTTTTGTCTAATAATGCATTATCATGTGTGGAATTTTTTTTTTCACATGAAAATGTTTTGTTAAATCGAGACGCCATGTTACAGTGAACTCGTTTTCTCCAAAATAAAAGACAGCAAAAAGGGACTAGTGTCTGCTCCCACTAATGGCTAGTATTTAATGCCATTTTTGAACATTTGTGTATTTACTTTCATTCTTTTTTAGTCTTTATTATTGTTTTGAATTTTGTTTTCGATACAATCATATCGAGGTGGAGGTTAAAAGTATCAAAACTAACTTTAAGATTATTAAAACATTTATGTCTGATATCCTAGTAGAGTGTTGGGTTTCTAAGGAATATTTTATGGATTCGATATTCTACCCTACCCTAAATGAGTGTATTAGTTTCAAACTTTTCCCCCTTCCCTAATAATGTCAACGAGCTGTACATTCCTAATTAGTCTAAGTCAACTATTTGATTCTGCAAGATTATAGGCTCATAATTACTTTCCTAGAATAGTTTCCCAGGCTCTGTATATATAACCTTCCTCTTGTTATACATAAAATGAGAGATATATTAATGAAGTATTATTTTTTACCCAATTTGAGATGGTACCAGAGCAGTCAATCATGACTGTCTCTTGACTTAACCCTAGCAATCGCTTCCGCAAACAGCAGCCGTCAACAAACCCAACACCAGCAAATCACTCAAAGCGTTCCCTATCATGGCCAACAATGATGGGTTAACAAACACCAATCAATCCTTGGTGTCGGGAGGCTCCAAAACTACCACACAAATCGTCACTTTGCAGAGTGACACCTCCAGCTTCTCCGCAGGAATCAAACTGGATGAGAATAATTATTCTCTATGGCATCAAATCATAGAGATGAAGATAGCTGGGCGAGAAAAACATGGCCACTTGACCGGTGATATTGCCCAGCCTGCAGACTCAGATCCCACATTTAATAAATGGCGTGCATCGGATTGCCAAGTCAAGAGTTGGTTGTTCGACGCCATGCAACCTAATCAGATTAAACGATTTATTCGTTATGACACAGCAAAGCAAGTTTGGGCTGCAATCAAGCAAACCTATTCAGATGGTGCTGATGAAGCCAAGATTTGTGACCTTCACAGACGGTCATTCATAATGAAGCAGGCTGGTGCATCAGTTGCCAAATATTACAGTGAGCTAACTGAGATTTTTCAGGAGCTTGATCAATTAAGTCCAAGCACCATGGAGCATCCGAAAGACGTTGAGACTAGATGCAAGGAGGTTGATCGTCTGAGTGTATATATTTCTTACCGGTTTGGACAATAATTTCAATCAAATCTGAGGAGAGATTTTAAGGATGGAGCCTAAGCCTGAACTTGAGGCAGCATATGCACATATTAAACGAGAAAGTAACCGACAGGGAACCATGTCTGAAGTTGGTGGAACCTCCGAAGCCACAGCCTTGGCTGCTGCCAGGTCCAAACAATCTCGGCCGAACAACTACAGTATCGACCCTACTCGTAACCGGCCTCCAATGAAGTGTACCAAATGTGGTTTAGATAACCACACAATTAAGGGCTGTTATGAGATCATTGGTTATCCAGAAGGATGGGTCCACAAAGGGCGAAAAAAGGATTCAACCAAAGCCTCATTTGCATCCGCTCAGTCATCCGAGGAGACTGCATCAGAACCTCCATTAGGTACATCTGGCTCCAAGGCCTAGGCCACCTCAGGTACCTCTTACGCATCTTCTCTTACTTGTAATAGATCATGGATTATTGACACTGGTGCTACTGATCACATGACATCTAGTTTTACTGGGTTGCACTCTACCAAACCATCAAGCCAAACACATATTACCAGTGCCAATGGCACCACCTCCCAAGTTATAGGAGAATGGTCTATATCTCTTACATCCTCATTAAGTCTTGATCATGTCTTAGTTGTCCCTTCACTCGACTATGACTTGTTATCTGTTACTCAAATCATTGATTCCCTTAATTGTACCGTGTGTTTTTTGCCATTGTATTGTCTATTTCAGGATCTTCTCACCAGGGTTGTGATTGGATGTAGTACTAGGAGGGGAAAGTTGTATTATCTGGACTTGACAGACGACAGTAGTAAGAGATTGAGTCACGCACATCATGTGAGAGGAGATGAGTCTATCAGGATGAAGAAAATTTGGCTATGGCATAGACAATTAGGGCATGCTTCTTTCGGTTATCTGAAACTTTTATTTCCAGATTTGTTTTCCCAGTTTGCTGAATCAGACTTTTATTGTGAAACTTGCATTTTGGCGAAAAGCCATCGTATTTCTTATCCATTAAGATTGAATAAAAGTTCTATGCCTTTCATGATTGTCCATTCTGATGTTTAGGGACCATCACGAGTTCCCATTATTAGTGGTTTTAAGTGGTTTGTGACATTTATTGATGATTGCACCTGAATGACCTGGGTTTTTCCCTTAAAGCAGAAAAGTGAAGTCACCGCCAAATTCAAGTTATTTTATCAATATGTTGCTACTCAGTTTGACAAGAAAATCACTACACTTCGGTCTGATAATGGAGGAGAGTACGTCAACCATGACCTACATAATTTTTTAAGTCAACATGGTATTGTTCATCAAACCACATGTGCCTATACACCACAACAGAATGGTGTCGCAGAACGTAAGAATCGACATCTCTTGGAAGTTGTTCGTGCCTCTTTATTTGAGGCCCGTATGCCTCATCATTTTTGGGGGGAGGCTCTTTGTTCTGCTGCTTACCTCATTAATAGAACACCATCCAGCACTCTTCAGTATCAAACTCCATCTCAGACATTGACCACTCTCCTCACCATGCCATCCACACCAAATCTCGAACCACGTCTCTTTGGCTGTGTTGTTTATGTTCAAGTGTATCCACATCAGCGTGGCAAGCTTGATCCATGTGCATTGCGTTGTGTCTTTGTGGGGTATGCTGACACTCAAAAGGGCTATAAGTGTTTCCATCCTCCCACTCAGACCGTACATGTTACCGCAGATGTAAGTTTCCACGAGAGTGAGTTCTATTACTCAGAGGGAGTTTCTGAGCATCATCTGCAGGGGGAGAGCTCTATCTTTGCAACAGATACTCATAACATCCAAATTCAACAAAATGTTTTAGAGCAATCAATGTCTGAGCAACCAGCCACAGTGGTGCAACAAGATCAAGAGTTATTGGAAACTCCAGATGATGGTTCAGATAATTTCCCTCCTACTACAGTACCATCACCAATCATCCAATCAGGTCCTGAAAATTCCCCGCAGGTAACTGAACATTTAAACTCCAACTTAAGCACTTTACCTGAGTCGAGTCATACAGGAAACACAGGTTATCAGTTACCTCATCATACCACTAGAGGGATTCCTAGACAACAGTATGACCCGGACCCAAAAATAAAAGTTAAATACCCTATTGCTAATCATGTGTCCCTACATAGGTTGTCTATGTCATGTGCATCATTTGTATATCAATTATCCACTGTATCTATTCCAAGTAATGTGCATGAAGCTCTGAAAGATCCCAAGTGGACTCAAGTGATGAATGATGAAATGGAGACCCTCCAAAAGAATTCCACTTGGGAGATGACTATCCTTCCTAAAGGGAAGAGAACAGTGGGTTGTAGATGGATATATACAGTAAAGTTCAAGGCAGATGGCACCATTGAACGATACAAAGCAAGATTGGTGGCGAAAGGTTATACTCAGACTTATGGGATTGACTATGAGGAGACCTTTGCCCCTGTAGCCAAGATAAACACAATTCGGGTACTTCTTTCTCTGGCAGCAAACCTAAACTGGCCATTACACCAGTTTGATGTCAAAAATGCCTTCCTGCATGGCGACCTAGAAGAAGAAGTCTATATGGATTTTCCTCCAGGATGCAAGATGGGGCCCAATATGAGCAACATGGTGTGTAAACTGAGAAAGTCTCTGTATGGATTGAAGCAGTCACCCAGAGCATGGTTTGGAAAGTTCAGCAAATCAATGAAGGATTTTGGATGCAAGCAAAGTAACTCAGATCATACTCTTTTCTTGAAACATAAGAAAGGTAAAGTCACTGCCCTTATTGTATATGTTGATGACATGGTAATTACCGGGAATGACCCAGAGGAAAAGGCAGCATTGCAGCACCACTTGGCAAGTGAGTTTGAAATGAAAAATCTTGGTGCTCTAAAGTATTTCTTAGGCATCGAAGTGGCTCGTTCAGAACAAGGAATATTTCTCTCACAACGGAAATATATCCTTGACATTTTGATTGACACTGGAATGTTAGCCAACAAACCAGCAGATACACCAATGGAGTTGAATCATCAGCTTGGTGAATATCTTGATCAGGTACCTACCAACAAAGAAAGATATCAACGCCTCGTGGGCAAGCTAATCTATCTAGGACACACTAGACCTGATATAGCATATGCCGTAAGTGTGGTGAGTCAGTTCATGCATGCACCAAGTGAAGCCCACATGGATGCTGTAAACCGAATTTTGAGATACTTGAAGTCATCTCCTGGAAGAGGATTGATGTTCGCACGACATGGTCATCTAGATGTTGAGGGTCACACTGATGTAGACTGGGCGGGCTTTGTTACTGACAGGCGATCTACATCTAGATACTTTACCTTTGTTGGAGACAATCTAGTATCTTGGCAAAGTAAAAAACAGAAAGTAGTGTCAAGATCAAGTGTTAAAGCAGAATATCGAGGTATGGCATACGGAGTATGTGAGCTACTCTGGATAAGGAATTTGTTGGGGGAATTGAGGTTCAAACCCAAACATGCCATGCAACTGAATTGTAACAACAAAGCCGCAATAGACATTGCACATAATCCAGTGCAACAGGATAGAACCAAGCATGTTGAAGTTGACAGACATTTCATCAAAGAGAAGCTCGAGGCAAAGATCATTGAGGTATCATTTGTTAAATCCAAAGATCAATTTGCAGATGTCCTCACCAAAGCAGTCACAGGCAGAGTATTTCACAGCTCACTTAGCAAGTTGGGCATTGACGACACATATGCTCCAACTTGAGGGGGAGTGTCAACAAGCTGTACATTCCTAATTAGTCTAAGTCAACTATTTGATTCTGCAAGATTATAGGCTCATAATTACTTTCCTAGAATAGTTTCCTAGGCTCTGTATATATAACCTTCCTCTTGTTATACATAAAATGAGAGATATATTAATGGAGTATTATTTTTTACCCAATCTGAGAAATAATAGTAAAGTTAAAATAAAATAAAAATAAATTAATCTAGAGAGGTGATGTTCTAAGGGACGTCTTATGGAGTTCATTCCTTGTTTATGAAAAGAAAATGATAATTTCCCAGTTATTTTTGCCAAGAAATGCTTTATTGAACTTGATCTCAATTTGTTAATTTGTTAATTTGTACTTTATTATAGATGTTTGTTAACTTTAATCTAGCAGTTTTACATGTTTCCTTGTGTATGTGTGTATATTTTTAGATTCGAGAAAGTCAATGTACGACGCTTGAGAAGTAATGCCAAGATAATTGGAAAAATCATCTGCGGTGGTGGAGCCATTTACATGACATTTATCAAAGGCACAAAGTTATTAAACACACAATTACCGATCCCACCAAAATCTCTCTTGGGTTTGGAGGGTCAGAATTTGACGCTCGGTTATCTATTTTTCATTGTAAACACTTGTTGCGCTTCGTTTTGGGTGATTCAGCAGGTACTAGTACTACTTGGATATATATATATAACACTCTAAAAATCTCATTCTACATTCTTCATAAGTGTATTTTTTTTTCTAAATATAAAATGTTTGGAGTGTAGAATGAGGAATTTGGAATGCCAATAATAATTTTCTATATATATATATATACACATACATACATACATATACACACCACCTTAATAATATTTATGTATATAGTTATATATGTATAGACACACACACACACTTGCACAGAATTATGGAATTATATGGACCAGGATCCTCTCCTGAGCAATTCCCTAGGGATCCTAGGGATCCTGCAATCTTATCCGTTCATTTTATATCGTGCGGTCAATTTTCGTTAGGTACTATTCATATTTGAATTTTAAAATTTAAATTTTAAATGATTTCTGACCACACGATATGCGATGAACGGACAAGATTGCAGGATCCCTAGGATCCCTAGGGAATTGCTCAGGAGAGGATCCTTGTCCGAATTATATATATATGTATGATTTGACCAATGTGTAAAAAACAGGTCCCAATTTCGGCACGTTGTCCATGTTGAATATATCACTATCGGCTCATCAAAACAGTTGTAAATGGATTGGATAATGCAATAGTTAGTTGAAAAAGTTACTTAGAGTTTGTTACTAAAAGTTTATTAGCTAGTCCTCTAGTCAGCTATATATAGCTATGGTAAACAGATAGTGAGATTAGTTCATTGAGTTCAATACAAACCCTTCATTCATTCTTTCTCACATTTCTCTTCTCTCTGTAAAACTTCATTTCTTAATTTTACAATTGTTCATCTCTGCTTCTTCTCGTTAACATAGAATCAGAGCACCAGGCTTCCGCTATGAATTCTGGTGGTTTCTCTTCGTAGTAGTTTACATTTTTTTTTCCTAGTTTAGGTTCTCTTCAAATTTCCATTAGATTTTCTGTGCTTCCGCGAGCTTGGGTTGTTGGGATTGTGATTGTTGCGATTGTTGGGTTTATTGTTCTGGTTTAGAAATTTAACCACCGAGAGCTTCTTTTTCTTGGCGTTGGGTTCCGATCCCAGTCTCTCTTGGGTAGTTCTTGTTTTTCTGATATTTTCTTGAATCTGTAATTTTCTCTTGGGTCGTTCTTGTTTTTCTTTGTAATTTTTTTTCTTAGAAATTTTGGTTCTTGCAATTCTGGGTCACTTCGATTTCAGCTTATCTTTCACTTTTCGTTTCTGGGCAATCTGAGATCTCAGTTTCTGAAACTGGGTTGTGGTGATTTCGATCCAATTCGATTGTTTTTCTTTGAAATTTAAATCCCAAGGCAATGTCACAGGGCTATGCAATTGAGCTTTACTTTGATCCAGCCCTCGAAAACCAGGTCTTGAAGGCTTTGAATGTACTCGCCCGCTGTCAGATTGGTACCCAACTATTCGAAATCGAATCATGACCTCACATCACCCTCTTCTCAAGTCCTTTTATTGAATATGCCAAGCTCGAAAACGTGATTAGACCCTTTGCTTCCTAGCAAGAGTCTCTGGCCTTGTCTTGCTCTTCGATCGGGAGCCTCCCAAATGACCAACTCCATCGGTTTCGTTGCTGCAATTTTAGTCCCAATTGTGTGAGACAATGAAGATAGAAGTCCAGGTGTTTGATGAAATGCCCAGCTCAGAATTTTCATGTGAAGAGAGAAGACGCGATGGTATCTTGGGTGCTATATCAAGATTTTCCTTATGGGTAGCTTCCTAGAGGATCTTATCTATATTGACATATGTAAGATCAGGATCTGCAGATTTTGGTATGGCTCTCTGCTTCTTCCTTCCATAATGTCTCACTGAACTTGCACTGGATTTGGGTATGGTTCTTAAAGTTCTTGGAATCTAGTTGGTTCAAGATTGATATGTTTGATGGTTTTGCTCAGTCTCTTTATTGGTTATAGTTATGATCCGTTGGTTTCTGCCTTCTGGAAAGATGGGAGATTGGATTTGGCAATAGAGTTTTTGGATTACATGATATCGGATGACTGCTTGCCGGATATTGTGAACTACAATACGATATTGGCTGCGTTGTGTAAGAGTGGAAAGGCTGATCAGGCTTTGCAAATCTTCAAGAACTTCGATGAAGTGGGATGTCCTTCGAATGTGAGCTCATACAACACCATGTCCAGTACTGTGGAGACAGAGTTCGAGCTTTGCAAATGGTATCAGAAATGGTAAGCAAAGGAATAGATCCTGACGGGATTACTTACAATTCGTTTATATTGTGGTTGTGCAATATATTTTCTTATCTTAGCCTATAATTTCAGAGTCTAACCAACTCAGTTGTTAGCATGAATTTACAGTAAATCCGGTTATACGATGAAGTTTGAAGAAGTTGTAAACGGTAAATCCCACGAAGGGTAATTCCGTGATGTGAGTAGGTAAATCCCACAAAGGGTAATCCTACATAGATGTTGATTTTCTATTGTTGAAATTGTGAAGGCCGATGCCATTGTTAAGAGTAGTTGTGTTTTGGTAAAATCCACAATGGGCGATCCTGTGGTACTATAATTAAGGCTGATTCCACACTATAGTTTGTTAATTTTTTGTCTTAAAGACCGATGCCAATGTTAAATGAAGTTGATGACAGTAAATCCCACGAAGGGTAATCCCGCAAGAAATTGTTATAACCGGCATGAGGGTGTGTGTACAACTTTATAAAAGGCTATTTTTTGATTCTGTAATCTATTGGAAATAGAGGCTTCTACATACAAAATGGTTCCATAATCTAGCTGAGTATGTTGAAAGAAATATTGGAAAACATTCTTTCTTTGGAAGATTGTATCTGCATGTTGGAAATGTGCCCTAAAACCAATCATGTGATGATGCTTTACGGACATTTCACATGTTAAACTAATCTAGTTTAATATAAAGGGCAAAGATTATTGTTTGAGCCGTCTCATATAAATGTTATATGCTTAAACGATAAAGTCCAAGGAATATGTGATTGGGAGAATGTAATCTAATGAAGTTAGATTCATGAGACCATTCTTTCGTAGACACATCCTAAATGTTCCTGATCATAGGATTGCCAATTGGGCATTGACAGTCCGTCAAGATCGGTACGTGCTATGTCTTCTCTTAGGGAGAGTGACTAGTCTCGAGTCATTGGTGTGTGTGACATCAAGACAAGTACGTAGGTGCTCAGTAGAGAATGAGTTCACTGAACGCGATCAACGAAGAGTTCTCATACTCATGTCACATGAGAACTCATGGTTGGGATAATGCAAAGTAGTCCTTTGACCTGAGGCATCACAGTTGTCTTGTGGTTAAGTCATTGATCTTTGATTATGTCAAAGTCACCCCATCGGGGTGTCCATGGCATCGTTGGGGTTAAGCCACTTAGCCATGGAGGCAAGTGAATGCGCAACAAGGGATTTCTAACCTTCAAACTGTTTGAGGGAGAATACTCTATGATATGATTTAGAATCTCTGGCCAGAGTATGAATGAGATTTAGAAAAGTCGTTCTAAATCACATTCAAGGTAATCATATAAGCACACGAATCACATTGGATAGTAGACATGAATAAATAAACTATCAAACCAAACAATGTGGTCAAGAGTATTGTATTAGAGAAAGACCGTATTGCATTTGTAATCCCAAACTGAATAGGTTTTCTCTACCTCTTCTGATTAGCTTGGGTAACCATGATATGCTGCAAGGTGTCACTCATGGTTTGTGGAAGCCCTAAACGTGTGTAATCACTAAAGGGAGAATTGAAAGTAAGTTTCAATTCACAATCGATATAAAATGGTTTTAATCGCCCACTGCCTCGCTAAAAGGAACCTAATGGATCGCACACCGTGTAAGGTGGAGATTGAAGAAACAATGGAGATGAGTAAGAATGATTAAATGGTTTAATCATTTATTTATGGCAAGGATTAATTAATATGTTTAATTAATCAAACGAATAAGTTCGTTAAAGACCTCGGGATAGTTTTGGACATTAAGGCCCAATGGGCTTCGAACGTCAAGCCCATTGACTTAAGTTGTATGACAACTTAATGAATAATGATTCACAAAGGCCTAATTAGCCTAAAAATACCCTAGGGCCGGCCATGATGCTAAGGGTAGTGAACTTGGACTTATTTACAAGTTTGCCACTCAAATGAATAAAGGTATAAATATGACTTTATAGCCTAAAATTCATAAGGGTTTGTTTTGGAGAAAATTGGAGAGAACATGTCTCTCCATTTCTCTCTAAAGAGGCCGGCCACCTTGGGGGTGCATCTTGCAATCCCACTACTCCAAGGTCACTCATTTCTTCTCCAATCTCTCCTTGGTGAAGAGACTTAGAGGTTCCCTATTTTGGGAACTTGGAGAAACCTATTCATCCATCCAAATCCATAGATTTTAGATGCAAGGAATGAAGGCCCTCTCTTTGGGTGATTAGCCTTTGCTTATGCAAAGAGGAATCTACTAGGCTTTGAATTTCTTGGTTAATGTTTTGTTTTTAAGTGCATGCTAGCATGATTCCGCCTTTAATTGTTAATTGCATGCTATATGATGTTGCTTAAATGAACATGTTTTTACAAAATATTCCTTCACTGCAAAGGTGATGTGTGATGATAATGGGATGAGCAACATGTTTTTTGGTTTTGGCAAGTTTGAAAGGATGATAACTATATGTGGTTGTACCTTATCGCAAAGAAAACAGTAGCTACAGAGGTGTAGATATCAGTTTGAGAGGCTGAAATTCTTTGGGAAGTTGATTGATGAGTATGAAATTGCACCGCTCTTGAGTAATTTTCAATGCTTGCAGCCATGGAGGATTAATTGGTGAGGGGCAGCAGGGCTAGGAGTATATGGACAAGAAGGACTTCATAGTTCTGCATTTCTCAAAGCATTCATTCAATCTCAAACCAGGAAACCCAGTTGAGATTGAGGATGGATGTTGAATATATCACTGCCAACTCATCAAAACAGTTGTAAGTGAATTGGATGATGTAATAGTTAGTTGAAAGAGTTACTTAGAGTTTGTTACTCAAAGCTTATTAGCTAGTCCTCTAGTCAGCTATAAATAGCTATTGTAAACAGATAGTAAGATTAGTTCATTGAGTTCAAAACCTTCATTCATTCTTTCTCACATTTCTCTTCTCTCTGTAAAAATTCATTTCTTGGTTTTACAATTGTTCATCTCTGCTTCTTCTCCAATGTACTTAACAGTCCAAACCACTTTTACACAGCGTTTTGGATGGGTTTATTCGGAACCATACAATCAGCAATAGTTACTCTTATCTTAGAGCATGACCTACAGGTATGGAATATCCATTCAACTCTTGAAATTGTAAGTGGTTTATTTGCAGTAAGTAGCCAATTCTCTAGACCTTTCCTTTTCTTAGAAAAGTTACATTTAGTAAGGATTTTCTTAAGGTTTTCAAAAATTAACAGGCGGTACGAACCGTGAGAGGCTAACTAGTCAATCGACAATACATAGATGGGCGCGTCCCACCAGCGTCTCACATTGCGCATGTCCGCACTTAAGCAGCTTTAATATACTATCTGCGAACAAGTAGGTGCTAATTAGATGTTTTTGTTTACTTGGTAGGGATTTGCAACGGGTCTAACCTTTTCCGTTCAAACATGGTGTGTATCAATAAGAGGTCCACTCTTCGTTGCCATGTTCACGCCCCTGTGCACAGTTATTACAACCATTGTAGCTGCTGTGTTTCTGCATGAGGAATTATATTTGGGAAGGTACTTATGTACGTATGTTTTACATATTACATTATTAATACACACACACACACACACATACACATTATATATAACTACTAGAATACATCCTTAATTCCTCATACAATCTGCATTTATCAGCTTGGTTGGTGGTGTTGCTGTGGTAATTGGTTTATATATTGTGCTATGGGGCAAAGCCAAAGACCAACAAAAGACCAAACAAGAGACAGATCCAAATCAGAGTCGAACTGTCGACCAGATCTTAATTGATGATGACTCCACAGAGAAGACAAGTTGTAAAATTGATCTGGAAGAACCACTTCTGAAGAAAGAAAAATCGCCGTTTATTTGACTACAGTGCTGCTTGTACTAATTATTTTTATTTGACTACAATGCTGCTTGTACTTATTTTAGGGCTTAAATTTTGTCTTTTCTGGTTAAACGTTTTCTTTCCATGGTGATAATAATGTTCAGATTCTGGATGTTATTTTCACCTTTTATTTGTTTAAATGTTTGTCACCTTGTTTTATGCTTGGGCTTAGCTTTTCCTGTTTACTTGGTACCCTCTCAAGCACTAGGTTTGTGTCACAGCCCGCCCCGAAATAAATTATCGATGACGTGAATTGACTATTTTACCCTTGGATGTGAGTGTCGTGGTGTGTGTTATGCATGTTAGGGGTGGTCCAAACTTATGTTTTTCCTTAATTTTTGGACCAAAGTAGCACTTAGTTTTTGTGGTTTTGGTTGGTGACCACGTGGACCACTCACACACACACACAAACTCTTCGTCTCTCTTCTCTCCCGTGCTCTCTCTCCCTCGGACTCACTCTCTCTTCGTCCCTCATGTATGGACGAACAACAAATCTAGAAGAAAGTTTGCAGATTGAGGGTTTAAAGTACACCATCGTGTCCCTGAGGTTCATACAAGTGGAATGGTACCATTTTTAGGTAAGAACTCCTTCGAAAACCCTAGTTTCTCTTGAACTCCGATTAAGGTACTATTCATGCAAATGTAAAATCTCATGTTTTTAGGGATTTCAAGCTCATAGGTAGCTTAAGGAGGTCCTCACGAGGCTAGGAGTGGTTCGTTGGAAGATGTTGGACATCAGAATAGTGAGATTCGACGAGTTGCAGGTTTGGCAGGAGTGTCGAGAAGTTTTCCGGCGAATCCCGTGGGTTTTAGAGCTTTTAAAAGGTATGGTTGTGTTCAATTCGTGTCAAGCTTCAAATTGGTTTAAGTTTCATGAAATTTGACTGAGAAATGGACGAGAAATGAAGGTTGAAAGAATTTCCCAGTTTCCGGCACCGGCGACGGCGCCGGAGTTCTGAGGTAGGAGATGATGGAATATTCCTAACGGCGTTGGTGAGTTTAACGGATTCCGTTACTATTTAACAAAATATTCCTAACGGGGTTAAGGGATTCCGTTAGGGTCCCTGTGTGTGGGCGGCGCGTGTTGCCGTGCCTTGGTCGGCGCGTGAGTGATCAGAAAATTATTCTAAAAATATGGGGATGTTCGTGGAGTTGTGTAGATTACGTTGGTATATTCAAACACCCCATTTGAGCATTGTATGAGAAGTTATTAGCTAGTTTTGTCTATGTGCTTTAAATGACGTTTTTATAGTTATTTCACATATAGGGGAGGCTTATCCCGAGGACGAGTGCGGTCAAGGGCGACTCGGGGGCTACGACCCTTTGACATACCAATGAGTGGGCTTTTGGTTTTCAGTATATATTTATATATTTGATATTTTCCTAGAAAAATACGTTTAAATGACGTATGCCTTGAATTGCCATGCATATAACTTTATGTCCAGCATGTGAGGTAGTGTATGCTGCATAATATATAATTGTGGTGCTATAGACGCTCAGGTAAGCACATGTGAGTTTATGTATTGTGAATAGGAATAACAGTTGTGATTGATTGAGAAACATTGAGCTCATAAACCTGCACCTCGGTGTTAGTGATTAGCCAGAGATATGGCTTAGGCCTTAAAATAATGTCACCTCCCGCACCATATGCTCACATTGGGTCCAATTTAGGTGCATAGTCCTGTCGTATAGACCATCATAGGTGGTTCTGACTCGTAGGTGACTAGCGATTTATCGCCCAGTTATCTTGATAGAGTAGTATTAAGCATAATTATATTACACCTAATCTTGTCGTACATACCCCTTTTTAGTGGTTCCGACTTATGTGCAGTGTAGTGTTTTTGCCCACTCACGTTTTTTGTTTTGCGCCCCTCCAGGTTTTAAGTAAGCTTGCTGTTGGTGGCGTACGAGGATTTCAGCGGTTCTGACATATTAAAATAATTGTAGGACATCTTATGGTATTGTACGACTAGTACTTGTCTTACCGGACTGCACCTAGACTTTCTACGCTTTGATTAGGTGTATTTACACTTGTATTTCACTTTTAGCACTTCTGGCTTATTAGTGCACTTTAGTAGCTTTTGGTTTTTATTTATTCGTATAACTCTTATCTTTATCGCTTCCGCACTGTGCACATGGCTACGTCACCCTCACGTGAAGGCCAGCATGCCTCAATCCTGGTCGGGGTGTGTCAGTTTGGGTACAAGTTTTCAATAGATTATAATTTCCCAATATTCTTTTGGCTTATTTTAGTCCCACTCATATTGAAACTCAACTTCGATCTCATTTTGCCCCTGAAACTCAAAAATCACGTCTTTACTCCTTGTAACCCAAATTTGATCTCATTTTGCCCCTAAAACTCAATAGTTGCCACTTTGCTCCCTGAAATTCGATTTTGATCTCACTTTGTCTCCTGAAATGCCAAAATCGTCACTTTACTCCCTGAAACTCAATATTCACTCAATTTTGACTTGTTTCTATGTATTCCGTTAAATAATTGTTAAATTTACTTATGTGGCATAATTAAGGCCACTTATGGCTGGCAAGGCACAAATACAAAGCTCATGTATCTAATCAAATGGTGACAAATGTATTGAAACAAAATAATAATAATAATTATTATTATTATTATTATTATCAAACATTGAATAACACATTAAAAAAAAGTGAGAAAAATAGTAAAAACAATTCATGGGTTTCATCTCTCCAAGCCCCCCCCCCTCCTCCTCTCTCTTTCTCTAATCGTTGCCCCTACATTCATCCCTTCTCCCTCTATCTTTAGCCACCTTATAATTACCTCCCATTGATTTCCTTATTTCTTATGCTCTTAATGAAGGTGGCTAGTGAAGAGAACAAATGACTCTTTTTGTTCTTTTTTACTATACATTTATTTTAGGATAAATTTGAAATATTACCAATTATAAATATTGAATCGATGAACTTAGTTTAAAAAATAGAAACAAGGGAGTATAAAGCGAATTTTTAGTTTCAAGTACTAAATTAGCGAGTTTTTGAATTTCAGAGAGCAAAATGAGATTAAAATCGAGTTCCATAGAGTATAGTTAGAAAGGCTGTATTTTTTTTTTTTTTTTGTGAAATGTAACTATTTGTTTACGTCAAGCTATAATTAATTAAAGAATTTATCAAATATAATTGAATGTCTTAATAGTTTTGAATTATCTTATTTTATTCAAAAAATGATGTATGAATTATAAAATAAAATATAAATATTTAGATTGATGAATTGAAAATATTTAGATAGTGGCCCACACCAGACATCCCTCAAACAGAGAATTATTTGAGGATCCTTCAAATAAAAAGTTATTTGTGACGGAAGTTTATTCTTGTCAGAGTTGTAAGCTCAAATTTATAGTATTTTATAAAGATGATGGTAGTTGAACCAGAAGCTCAAATTTCATGTCAAAAAGAAGAAACGAAAGCACATAAGTGTTTAGTGTATAGCCATTAGGCAGCCACAAGCTAAAGAGTGGTAGCTGAACCAAACCAACAACTACAAATCCAACTTCATAATGATAGTGGACTTGTGGTCCATCCACCAGCACCAAATCAGAACCCTAGAGTCCTGACTTAATAACAATTCTATGGTCCTTCCTTCGCCTATACACGATGTTCTCGACATTTTAACCGTTAAATCTTAATTTTTAACTATTAAAAATTCAAGAATATCCATAAAAAATCTTAAACACCATAAAATATCTCACGACTTTCACTTTTTCTTGTTTCCATAAACTGATGGTGTTAACTTTTGTAAAATACCCCAAATTTCTCTTACCTGCAAAGTCAACACCGCTGGTTTACTGTGATCTCACACTCCAATTGTCCCACAAGTTACTAATCTAAAATACCATAACAAGTATTTTCTTAAATAATACCATCACCGTTTGTATACACCATGACTCAATAAACAAATAGATATACGCTCATGCATAACGTACATGTATATACAAATATTTAGAGCATACGATAAAATGACATACATCGACGATCAATTAAAATATTAAATAAATAAATAAATAAATAAAACGAAATAAGTCTTTCCAAAACAAACAGAGATTCACATAGCAGCTGATAAAACATCAAAGTAGCAGCTGAACGACGTCGTAGCCAAAACCAAATGTGATCACAGACTTTATACAAGAGATTAATATCAATAACCCTAGTCAATAAGATATGTTCCACTAATACGAGCTAGCTGCCAATGCCAAACTATTCTCTACATGCATGCCAATATCTGATCGAACTCAGTGTCGCTTACTGTTTCCAATATCCATTGTCCCTGCTGTTGTTCCTAAACGCGCAGCATCCAACCGAATACACCACGATGAGGAAGATAAGGAATACAATGTTGACAATGGCCGTCTTCTTCCAATTACTTTTTACGTTGTCCAGCAGTCCAGCCTTGCACGACTGACAGTTGAAGCACAGAACCTTTTCATCATTCTGCCATGCACTGCAGTCAGGGTTGGAGGAAACGGTGGTAGCGTTATTGGTCCAGGATATGGGGGTCACGTAGGAAAATCCACAACCATCCGATGGCTTACAGCAACCAGCCTGCAAATAAGTAAACACATTAGAAGAACCGTTACATTTGACAAGGTGAAAAACGAAATAACTACACACAATGCACAGGGCAGTTCAGTTTGTAGTTTTATTAAATGTATACAAAGCCAAACAACTAAAAAAACATATAACTCAAAGACGTCAAGAACCATGGATAGCAATTGCTCCTAAGGCATTGTTATTAGTCCTACCCAGTTGTAATCGAGGGAAATTTACTATAGTGAAGAGGTAATTTCAAATGGTACTGTGTAAAGCACAATTAACGGGTATAAATACACATGTGGATGTGGACGACGATATGTGGTGGATGTGGATGCAAGGTGGTAGGTAGGGCGTCCACAACAGCTTGTTTCTAAAAGGGATTCTTATTTTCTTTCATGACACCAACCATATGCACTTTCAAAAAAGCAGGATATACTACTAGGAAGGAAGCACGACCACCAACTCCCTAATGAATAAAAGATGCAAACCCGTGA